GTAGCTTCAGCTGCTGCTCAGGTCAACGCTGCTTGGATACCCAGATGTGCCTAACCCAGGGCATCCCTTCATGAAAATGTGGTGACTGTAAAACAGGATGGTTCTCTAACACACTGGATTGCATCCACCCCTAGTTACCTCTCATTTCCATTAGGGTCCCAGTCCCTCTTGGAGGCTTATCCTCTTAGACAGAGGGCTGTGACCCAAACATCTGGAAATATACCGTGTCTGTGATTAAAAGTAAGGCATTTTTCAGAGTTCAGTTGAGGAAATAAAGCACCAGCGCTTACATCATTGCACTAGATGCTGACAACATCAGGTTATGATTGGTAAGAATGGAAACAAAACAACTGGTATAAGTGGAGGTCTCCTGCCACACTGGTTTCAATTCCCCAAACTGCTCCACTTCTGAGAAGACTCCATAAAGGTAAATTTGAAATATAGTCTGCTCTTTGGTGCAGGTACTTAAATCTGATAAACCTCTCCTTCAGCAAGAAAGGGAGGGTTGGGAGCATTCCATGCACCATTTGTTGAGGGTGTCTTGTTTAATTTGAGCAAACAGGGCCATAGACTCTTTGCTGTCAGGCACTCATGGATGCATGTAGCCTTTTGCTCTAACCAGCTGCATTTACACAAGGAAAGCACACAGGCCAACTGGTCTAGCACAGCCCATGTCCCTGCAGGGAAACTGCATTATCTTCTGTGTCACCAGGGCAGTGGCACGGTGCCCCTCCATGCCAACCCCTTTGCTAGCAGACAGTAGCTGAGAGGATGCCAGCTTGCACACTCTAAAATCAGACCAGGGCAGTGACAACCCTATAGTGGGTTTGTTGGGTTTTTTTCCAAAAGCTGAAATTTGATGATCCTTGTGAGTCCCCTCCAACTCATAGGATATTCTATGATTCTATGATTCTAACCATAGCAGGATGGGCCAGATGACATTTGTGCCTACACATTGATGGTCTCTATTTTAGCAGCATAGAAGTAGTGTTAGTTGGTAGACATGACAGACATCCTGAACTTACAGAGCAACTCTGTATGCAAACAGATTTCAGACTGGCTTGGCTGCTGCTCATGTTCACTCACTGCCCTTATTACCTGCCAGTATCAGAGATTTCTGCACATTTCTGTGTCAGAAGTGAGAACTCAAGCATACTTCTGTGTTCTTGGACTGGGCAAAGCTGCTAAAGCATGTAAATCTCTAGGAGTGAAAAAACAGGGGGCTAGTAGAAGACTCACAGTCAGGCATACACACTCCAACATAACATGCAGTATTTGCTCTAAGGGGCATCATTCCCATCTGGAGGAATGGTTTGTGTTTTGCAAAAAGCAAGGAGGAACCACAAGGATGGAGATTCTCATGATTATTCCAACTCCTGTTTATAAACCCACTGGCAACCAGTCTCATCTCTCTGCAACGGTACAGGAACGAGCCTCTTCCCACAGTCCCAGGGCAGCCCTGACAGCAATCACAGCTGGAGCAGAACACAAATGGCAGCTGCCTGCACCAAAGGCGGGGCTCATATGCAGGTGTGCTCAAACCAGGCAGCTCAAGCCCTACACAGACCAGCAAGCAGAGGGCTCTGCATGAGGTGCAACAGAACTCCTTCACTCAGCACGTCCCCACAGCAGCCAGCGTTGCCCCCACACACTGCCCCCGTTCCAGAGAGGTGAACACTCTTGGAAAGGACCAGCAGGCACAGTGTGTCTCTCATAGAGTACAGGGCTGGCTCTTGGGAAAGCAGGAGTCCTTTGGTGGAGGGATGCCACTCTGCCACAGAGACAGCCTGAGCTCTCAAGGAGACCCCAGATGAGAGGCACATTCCATGTTTCGGGCACACGTGCTTGTTCCAGGCTCTCTCAGCTGGGGTTACACAAACACAGCAGGCCCATCACACTTGGCCTTAAGCCCTTCTGACATCTCTCTCACACCTGCACAGCTCTGCAGGATGGAAATAAGGGCTGTGAAAGAGAGGACTGAAGGGAGAAGGAAGGGTGCGCTCTACCTTACCATGCACTGACCCTTCTTTACCCATCATCCTCAGAGCGCACTTCAGAGCACTCCAGAGCAGCCCAGTAGCCTCCTTCATCCCCAAAATATGCCCTGGTCTCCTGGGCATATTTTCATCCCACCTGGGGATGAAGCTCCCTTTTGCCCTCTTCTCAGTGCTTGACAAGGATTATTTAACCCCACTTCAGAAAGCTTTGACTTCTGAACAGAGGATGCTCAGCACTTCCCAAAATATATACCCTGTCAGGTGTCATTATGAGACCACCACTCCCTACCGTGGCCAGTGTAGTGTAATCTGTCCCTGGGTGTCCACTGGCTGTGGGCACTAGATGGAGCATTCAGATTGTTCTGACTCGGGGTCTTGCTGTCCTAAAACAGACCCCATTCAGGGCAGGCACCACAGCACAATGACTCCAAGCACCCCTATCACCCATCTGCACCTCTACAGGCCTTCCCTGAGCCATGGGGCCAGGCAAATGTGCATCCACAACGCTCAAGGAGGCAATCTGCAGGCAGAACAGCAAGGCTGGTGCCCAGCATCCTCTACTGCTGGAGGTTGCAGTGTCTCTCTGCCTTGTTACAGAACAGCCTGCTCTTCGTGTCAGTCTCCAGTAGTATGTCCTTTAACCACAAGTGAAAGCAACCGATCCCCCACGAAGACACATCTGCTCCAAGTCCATATTACAACAGGGAAAAAAATTACACCTTCAGCTATATAAACCAATAAAGACTGTCTGATTTGGCTTGCCCCTGTTGCTACTCAGCAAGCTTCCCACTGGGTTAAAGACTGGTGACATCTGCTAAAAAATTGTCAAGAGTAAGGAGAACAAAACTGGGTAATGAATCACACCAAGTGTTCAGTGCAGCTGGAAGATGGAGGGGTAAGTCCACCCACCTCACCCCCAGGCCAAGGGTAGCCAGAACAGCCAGACGAGTGCTACACAGCAGGTGGCTCCAGCAAACGTGCACATGGAGGTAGAGCAGCAGGCATGCACCTTCCAACAGCTATCAAGAAACGGCACATCACAGCAAAGGACACGATGTGAGGGGTTTGCTGCTGAGGGAGCCTCTTCAAAGTCACGAAATGGTAAAGTTAACTCTGCCCCCTTGTGCATCTACATCATGATACAGGCCATAATTAGGTGACATGCTTCTCCTCTTTGCGTCAGAGGCATGTATAGCAGATACAACCCAGCTCCCTGTCACCTGCAGCACAGAGCTTTGGGACACCTCCATGGGCACCTCACACACACTCGGACCCATCCAGAGGGACCCTGTGCTAAGTAGGATGGGGAGGGGTTATGGATGCTCCTGGGGATCCTCCCAACAAACAAAGACGTTGGAGTACTTGACTATGCCTCTTCAAATCTGCAGCTCTGAGCCTATTATAAAAGCAGCTTAAACAGCCTGCTGAGGACAGCATTACTGTCCAGCTTAGGAGCTCGAAAACCATGACTCATTCTGCCAGACTGATGGGGGTTGCTTAGATATCACATGCTCACTTCTAGATGTGAACTGGCAAAAGCTGGGGAGGTTCTCAGTCCTGCTTCTGGGAACTGCTTTTGCTTTTCAAGGAAGAACTTCATTCTTTTCTCTGCTGTTAAACCAGAGTCTTCTCACAGGCACCCAAAAACTGGCAGCTCAGGAGAGTGCTGTGACACAGAAGCCATGTGGTCTCAACACAGGCAGCCTACCTCCTGACCTAGCCGATAAAATACAAAACTTCCACCCTACCTCCTTTAATGCATGTATTTAACTAAGCACCTGTGGCCCGGATTTGGAAAAAAGTATCAGATGTACAATCACAGACTTGAGTAACAACAGCATATTCAGCAAGTCCCTGAGCACAGGGACATTTGTACTCCCACCATCAGACCAGTTCTCACATAGCTGACATTGACCCCATCAACCTCTGGCAGTTTTCCCCCCAGTTTCAGTAAATCTAGCTCGACTCTGATCATGTGCTTCCACTAAAGCATCCACAGGCGCATTGTCCTGTTTGTGCAACTCAGGCACCGGGTTGCTGGCATGATTTTAGCTGTGTCTCCCCCAGAGAGGGGGGGTTAATGCCACTACAGCTTCATCACACCCACCCACCACCCCCTCCATCCCGGAGGGGTTGGGCAGCGGGGGACAGTGGGGGCAGTGCAGGGGTGCAGATCCATGCAGGCTGCAGGGCAGTGCTGGACCCACACCAGCAGCAGGAGCTGAGGAACATGAGTGCTCCCCAGAAGATGCAGAAGCCTGACACAGCAGGAAGGGGATTCCTCCTCGAGGAGACTTCCACATCCTCCACTGCAGCATCCCCGCTATGGCTCTGACATCCCCTCCACTTCACAGCCACAGCCTCAGCTCCTCTCTTTAAGCTCTTACAAAATGAAAGGAATGGTCCTTCTAGTCCATCTCTGGTACCCTTCTCTCCAAAGCATTGCTTTCAGTAAGATGCAGAACAAAACAGGACCATAAACCTCGTGGTGGATCTGAGGAGTACTAGCAATATCCAATCCCAAAAGGCTGTGCTAACTTCCACCCTCCAAGACTGACAAAAGCCCCTGCTGAGAAGGACCTTAGAGAAACATCATGGCAGACAGCTCTGCACTTTATTTTCTGTCTCTTTGTGGCTATTTCCTCTTTCAGAGTCAACACAATAGTGACTCTTCCCCTGTTCCCTGGCAGGAGGGAAATGTTCCACAGATAGGACAAGGGTCTGGTTCAAAACTGACTCACTCACTGCCAGAGCTTTCTGACACACTCAGACAAGACCCTCCTCAAAGAGGTCCTGCTCCTGGCCACTGGCTCGCTTCAAAGGTCCCTGACGTGGCTGTGACCTTGGCACAGTCCTGCTGAAAAAAACCAAACCGCAGCACAGCCAACAGCAAGAGATGTCCACAGCTCCGTCACATCACACACACAGAGCACCCACCCCAGCCCCAGCCCACCCTTCTAGCCACGCATCCGTGCACACCCCCAAGAAAGCAGCTCCTGCTACCTTCGTCCCGCTTGCGCTTGTTGTTCTCGGTGCTGGGGGAGGCGATTCCCAGGATCCCACTGATGGAGTAGGATGAGCCAGCAGAGTCAGTGGTGACAGAGGACACCTGGGTGACAGATCCCGTGGAGGCTGCAAGGCAAGGACAGGCAGTCGGTCACAGGACAACATGGGCACCAACCTACCCAAAAGCCACTGGCCCCCATGGCATGATGGAGGTGGGCCGGGGCTCTGCCAGCCACCATGGCTCCTCCAGCTCAGGAAGGACACTCGCCCAGACTAACCACACCCAGTCCAACCCAGCTGCATGCCACAGCAGCCCAGTGCAGCAGTGGGAGCAGAGGCACGGTCAGCCCCCGCCCCTATCACAAGGGGCTGGGTGCATGCACTGTGAGATGGGAGGTGCTTTTCCTTTAGCAGTGAGATATCCCACCCCTCTCGAGGCTGGCGGGGAACACTCATTGCTTGGGGCAGCAGAAACCACCCAGTGATACAGCAGCCCATGTCACCAGCAAAGGCGGACAGAGCTTTGTGGGAACACAGCCATGCAGAGAGAAAGGAGCTGCCACAAAAAGGGTCCTGGGACAGGAACCTCCTTGGAGTGGAGCAACTCGCATTTACTGTGCTAGGTGTGGTTCCTGCATCCTGATGAACCACCTGGCCAATGAAGATCCTGCACAGCTGGGGTTGCCCACGGATGGACAGCTGAATGGCCCTGAGGTTCCCCAAAATATGAATAAAATCCACTTGGCTTTGGTAGAGCCCTCAGGAAAGGGTACTGGGTGTGTCCACCAAGGGAAGTCACTCATCACAACCAACATCAGCCTGGAGTTGCCACACCACTCTGCAAACACTGTCCACATGATGCCGTGGGAGTCCAAGGTTGCAAGGAAGCAGGCAGAGGAGGGAGCACACCATCAACTTGATCAACTCATAGACTGAGCCTGCCCTACCACGTCCTTGCATCCTAAAAGTCACTGTGCAGACCACCAGGACAGGGTGCGGAGATATGCTGCAGGACCACACCGAAGACCCCTAGCCACAACTCACACAGAGCACACTAGTGCTGCCTTTATCAACTCCAATCCCTGAGAAAAAAGATTGTTCTTCTCTTCCCTGCTCTTGTTTTTCTCAAGGAGAGACAGGCCTTAAGCCACCACAGCGAGATAAGGCATGCTTTTCCTTCATGAGATTGTTTTGCCATTTCCTAGAGAGAAAGGCTGATGACATGGGGTCTGCAGTGTGACTTTCTGACAAGCCCAAAGAGCGCAAGCGACTCTGCAACTTCTGTCTCTGTCTCAGCACATCCTTCCCAAGCATGTGGTACCAAAAGTTTCATCAAATCACAGGTAACAGCACAAAGGCAGAGAGGAGCTAGGGCCCCCAGACCATCTCCTGCTGGGCAAGGGCTGACCTGTGCCACCGTGGGTTTCGTGGAACAGGGACAGAAAGAAAGCAGCCCTGAGCCCTGACCGAGCCCCTCCATCCCCGCCACATCGCAGCACAGCAGCATCTACCCCCCACAGAAAGACACTGTCAGCCAGGGGAAGGGCTGAGGGTGCCTCACCAGCCTGGGTGTCTCCCTGTGCCAGCATCACCTGCCTAAAGGCACAGCACCACTGCTCTGCAGCTGAATTAAAAGTTTCAGAAAGTTTTGCTACCTCTTCACTCAAGACTGCAACTGCACAAAGAATTATGGAAGGGATAGCTGATAGACGAAAAAAACACATTCAAAACTACTTACTGACTAATGATGCAGAAAATGTTATGAATAAGTATCCCTTTCTTGATTTATTACTTTAATTATCTGACATTCTATAGACCCCCATTAGTGGGGTTTTTTTTGGTTTAGATTTCAATTTTCTGTCTCATGGTGAAAGCTATTTATCATAATAATCAGTAAAATTCAAAACCTTTTAGCAGTATTTATAAAATTCATTTACTATGTTCAGCCCTTGGAGAATGACAAAGAAGGCACATTAGCACGTGTGCTGAAGTGTTTTATGCAGAATTATCTGTCCATAAGAATGATTAAAAGTTCTCTAGAATATTTGTAAGCCATTATGTGTTTTTTTTAATATATTTTTTAAAAAAAGTTTTCCTTACCTATGCTGTGACTGGAGGCTGGTACCTGCTGATTGGGTGGCTGCTGCACCTTCGTCCGTATGATCCTGTGAGCAGTGGAAAAGAAACAACCACTTAGCATTAAGCACACAATTGTAGGGGTCATCAGACACTATTTTTCCAGTGCAGAACACCTATATCAATACAAAAATTCCCTTCATGTGTATGCTCCCCTTGTCATTCACGGAATTATCAAAGTCTGATGAATGGATCCAGGACTACATTTGTGCCCCCAGCCCCTGCCATTAGGGACGTCGGGGTGACATTTCACAGAATCATTTTGTGATTTTATTCAGGTTGGAAGGGACCTAATGGGTCATCTGATCCAATCTCCCTGCTCAAGCAGGGTCATCCCAGAGCACATTACACAGGATTGCATCCAGATGGTTCTCAGAATGCTTCAGAGTTTGATGCTTTGGTGTCTCTGAGGACCCAGTCCTCACTACCCAGGAAAGTGACATCCATCACTATCTGGGCAACCACCAGGCCAGCACCCCCTCCCCAGGAAGCTGGACCTCTCTGAGCCCAGAGGTCCCAGCAAGCTGTGGTTTGCACTCTTGGGTGATGGGACACTTTTGCAAGGCTGTCCCTAGACTGCCCCAGCTATGGCACTCACACACCTTAGAAAAGGAGCTGCTTAGCCAAATCATTATTAAAAAAAAAAAAAAAAAGACATGTGAGAACTAATGTCAATCTTAAAACCTGAATGCCCACATTGTCATCACTGGGGACATCAGTCTCCGGTCTGGTTTATATTTGCGCCAATCAGGAAAAATTCAGAGATACAGAAAAAGCAGTAGGCATGTGTGGTGGTGCAGGACAAAGGGCACCAGCTACAAAGAGAGATGCTGGGAAGATGCTACACACAGTGCTCACCTGCCCATGTGCTATGGAAAAAGAAAAGACAGGGTCAGAAACACTTCCAGAGATCACACAGCTCTGCCTCTGACTGCAGCAGAGGTGGAAGGGGCTGGAAGGAGTCATGTCCTTGGCTCACCACACATTCCCCCGCTTCAGGCACTGCTGGCACAGCAGCAAGGCCACAGCGAGCATTTCTTCCCTCTGTGCCAGACAAACTCTCCCCCATTCCTGCCTGCCGTGTATCTGGAAGACAGGAGAGGAGGGGGCGGAACGGGCGTGGGGGTCACAGGAACACACAGCAGTTCCTTGCTGGAAAGCCCCGCCATGAGCCAGCACAGGGACCACCACTGGTGACACCCAACCCCACCCCAGAAGAGAGTGTTCTGCCATTCCCTTCCCCTCCCAATCCTCAGAGGAGTCCGATGGAATCTGGCAGGGGTTTGGTCTGTCCACAAGCCATCTTTTGGCTGCCAGACCCTGGGTGTCAGGCACGGTCAGTGTATTGGTCCCAGCAGCACAACCCTCAGGACAGTCAGCCCAGGACAATGGGCAGGAACAGCTGTGACAGCAGCTTTAGCGGGGGAGCCAAAGCAATGGAGCCTGCACGGGTGAGAGTGGAAACAGCCCCCTGTACAAGCCTGTCATGGTGAAAGAAGTGTGTCCAGGGCCTTCTGACACATAAACATCTTCATCTCTGGAGGGTTGGAGGGCTAGAGCAGTTTGAAGCAGCTGGACAGCTCTCAGCTTATTTGGGCAAAGCTAATCACAATGATTAATTAAGTCTTAATCACAGAGACTTGCTCCTGCTATGGAAGAGTGGCCTGTTATTAATATTAATGTTATTAATTAATAACAGTAATTATTATTTACTCTTATATGCAGTTAGCAGCTAAACTCATCTGGTAAAAGGCTCCCTTGGCAGCGGGGATGTGCTGGGAATAGCCCATTCCCATAGCCCCAGTGTTTCGCAGGAGCACCATCAGCATCCTGGGAGGGAACAGCACAGCTTCAGGGAAGCCCCCTGCACCATGGAGCAGGGGGACAGCACAGCAGCCCTGTCCTCCTCTGTGCAGAAATGCCAGCTGCAGGAGGACAGGAACTATGCTGCAAGATCTGGGTGGGCTCAAGTGTGCAACAACCAGGTAGTCCCTGATTTGCACCTCAGTGGAGAGCAAGAGCATCATGGGCACAGGGCTGCATCCTTCCCACTCCAGCAAAGTCTCAAAATATATACTCAATATTAAATATGAGCATAAAGATCACAGACTACTGGAACCGGAAGGATTTAGCATTTAAGCCAAGTGTTTTGATGTGAATTCAAAGTTCTTTGTCACATGGCTGTTTAGACTGGGTTTTCAGGATGAGGTCCTAGGTCAACAAAAACTATTCTCCAGCTACACCAACTGATTAAAACAGATTGCATGCATTTCTTAAAAGGTATTTCAAACCTTTGAGAAAAAAAAAAGATTTTAGCAGATGAGAAAGAATTGGATTTGCAGCAAAAAAACTTGGTGGTGGATCATCAAATGGGTTACTGATACAAAGGCAGTGGGGATGTGGGCATTCATGAGTGTGGAAACACACAAGAACACAGCAAGAGAAACATGGAAACTGCCTCAAAACCAGACTGGAAGCTACTTAAATCTCCCTTTTTCCTAAAGATGTGAGTGCCCTTTTTGCAGTTTTTTGGAGGATGTTTGAAGTTCTCCTATACAAACATAGAACTGCTTACAGCACCCACACTTCTCACATGACCCCGTCTGACGTTAATGGAAGCAGAGCTTTCCCTGAATTATTTGATATTTTCCTTCGTTTTTCCCCGTATCTGTATTATTTTTCAAACTCTCTTTAAAACTGAAGACACCATGTCCATATTTACTACATGCTGCTCTAGAGCCTCAATAAGTCAGGGGTTCCCAGGTAACAGCAAGGGCCATGCGTGAACTGATCCACTTTCTTCCCTTAGATACACGAACGTGTGACTCGACGTTCAGTCCATCAAGGCAGAGACTGCACTTTCTGCTAACACTGGGGAAGCCGCTCCGGCTACTCAAGCGGCAACTCCATGAATGCAAATCAGGTTGTGATAGCCAATAAAAGAATATTGCATCAATTTATTTCATGTCTGTGGACACAAATGAGACACTTTATAGCAAGCTGCATTTGAAGGATTTGCATGCAGTTGCACAAGTGAAAATCACCTCACCAGAGTAGTGAGGTGGAAGCCTGGTGCAGAGTGAAAACGAAAGAACTCTGCTTGCCGTGGGTGTGTGTGAGGCTGCCCAAGCACTCTGCCATCCAAGTATTCATCCTTTACTGTTGCTCTGGCAGGGCTGGAGCCATCATGAAGTATTTCACTGGGTTTTCCTAGCACCAGCGTTATACATTGCTCAACTCGGGAGGAAGTGGTGAGCACAGAAGGTGTAACAGAGAAGGTAGTAAGTTGGAGCCCCTCCAGACCCCCCTGCAAGCCCAGCCCTGACTGGTAAGGTTGTAGCAAAACTCCCAAACACAGGACTGAGGCTTCAAATGAGATTACCTTGCATTGTTACAAAAGCAATTCAAGGCCACTTAAGTGCGTCCATGTACCAAGCAGATGGCTGAGGTCCTTGGACACCATTAACCAAACTCTCCTGGTGATATTCATGCTGAGCATAGGCCTGGGCCAACGTCACCAACACAAAACAGGTGTCAGGGGACAGAATGGCACCCATGCCTTGAGCTCCCCTGTTTCCCAGATGACTGCCACCCTACTCAATGGCCATCTCAGCTTCCCTTCTGGGCAAAGCATGTCCCACTGAACCCCCACCACACTGAGCAGAACCGGGGCTTCATTCAAAGCAAACACACAGGGTCGTTCCCAGCAAGGTTCCCCCATTCACAGACTCGAGAAAGAATGGGAAAGAAGCAAAAGCTGGTAGCAGAACCTGTCCACTCCTAGAAAACGCTCATCGTCTGTGATGCTTCAGCCACCGAAGCAAGCCCACAGCTGCTCCCCAGCCCCAAACACCTCAGGGAAACACATGAAGCTGCTTTTCTTGCAAACAGCCCCAAACACCCAGTCATACTAAAAGACAAGGATGCAAAGACAGTGCTTCCGTGGAGCATCCACCCCAGGACCAGACCGAGCTTTACCTGTTAATGGAACTGACACTAGGCACGGTGTCATTGTCACACACTCGCTCAGCAAGGAGCCTGTCCCTGATCTCCCAGGCAAACATGGTGGGATTTTGGCGTTTGTACTCTGCAATTTTTTCGACAACTTTGGGTGTGGCGACCTTTGGTTTTGATCCTCCAATCACTCCAGGCTTAATACTCCCGGTTTCATAATACCTGGGACAACATCCAAAACAAAGCTTTAGTTATCACACACAGACAGAGAACATGTTCTGAGATTTATAGAGAACATCACTTCAAGGTAACCAAAGCCCAGCAAAACCTGAGATACATCTTCACTTTCACATACACATTTTCTGCCTATGTAGTGCTTTATCACCTAATAGATTAACTTATAGTAATTGGAATTGGGCCTCTGGATACAATATATATTTTTCTGTAATAGCAAGACAAAAGAAACAATGCAAGATTAAAGGGCACGCTGAGATCCAAAATTAACTGAAAATGTGTGTTATTAATCAGCAGTACTAGCAATAATAAAAACAAATCACACCAAAGAACACTTTTTGCAGTGGACTCTTCGGTAGCAAATTACTGCTTCTACAGAAATTCTCTGTCATTAATATCTACAGCTTGCTATCATTTCAGAGCAAAATAATGGCTAGGTATTCTATTTTATTTGCACATCTGGAATACCTATGCCAGCATATCTTTTTTCTATTTTATGGTTTGAATATGCATATTAGGGTTTTAATAGTTCATGTTTTTTAAATGTATTTTTTTCAGCATTATGTTTTCACTAGTATCAATCACAATTTTTGAGGGAAAGGGAGCTGCCTGCACTCCAGAGGGATCCAGCTGATGCGGGGATTGGTTTCTGTGACCGGCTCTTTCCTCAGGTGCAGCATCATCACCCCCACCAGCAATTCTGCTGATGCCATGCCCCCAGGAAATGTGGAGAATGGGATCCCTAAACCAACAGAAAACTGGCAGAATTCTTCACAAATAAAGCACACAAGAGCAACTGCTTTTGGTAGTTTTGCAACAATACACCAACTGAGATTCCTGGGCCAGGTGAGTCTCCCCTTTTAATAAACAAAGTATCGAACACGCTGCTGAGAGCAGAAGTTGCACCTTGTCTGATGTGGGCCAGAATGGAGACCAAGAATGAGACCACGCTCTTCTCTGCTGCGGTCGGAATGCTCCATGCAGAAGGCTGTTTCCCAGGCCTGCACTTCTTTGTATCTTGTGACCAGATAAAAAACAAGCCCCGTGCCTACCTTCAGCCACCACACCAGCTGCCCCAGTTCTGCACATCCCTTTCATATAGAGCAGACCCCTACTCCGTCAACGTCTCGACCGGACGCCCACCGAGCTGCACTCTCAGGAGCTCAAACATGACCACTTGCTGCTCCGCACCCATATTTCTAACTCAGAAGAAACTCTCAAGCAAGAATGTAAGACTGTTTATTAATATATTTTCTCTGCAGCTATCTGACATAATCATTACATAAAAAAACCCCAGAAATTAATTCCCCCATCTTTCCAGCCTGAACAAAGCACAAACAGTCTGCACAGCCAAAGTCTGCCTCACTGAAACACACAACTGTGTTCATCAAATTTCTGCCAGGCTACCTGTCTTCCAGTCTTTCTGTATGCAGGGCCTAAAAGTCCTTTAAAGGGACCGACACCAAATTGTTCATACATGTTCTCAGATATTCTGGGTGCAGATGTTGACATGGAGCTACCAGTCTCCATGAGCCATTAAAGTAACTCTAAAGCGTTGAGTGTCAGGAATGGGTTAACCCTCCCGCTGCCCCTAAATGCAGCAGGTTTTAGGTCAGAGAGGCAAAATCCAGCACCTTGTGAACTTTCACAAGAACGTGACAAAACAATGGCAAATACGGCCCATAAACCTTATAAAACCTTGCACCCTTTATAAAACCTTGGCTGCTGGCACCTCTCCTGTGAGGAGGATGTAGAAGGCAACCAGGCAATACCACAAATGCTACCAGACAAAAGTCACAATTTTCTTAGATCCAGTCAGAACAATGGATTTCACAAACATTTCTCAGTGTTTTTCTCCAACAGCACTCCTGGTCAGTACCCTGCACCACAGGCCAAGCCTGGCAGAGAGGAGCATCCCCAGCAGCACCAGACACCATGGGGCACATGCCAGCTGATGCTTTCCCACAGCCAATCACCACAGTAGGAAAGCCACGGTAGCGAAGGGCCTTGACACCACAGTGCTGTGGCTGTGGCCAGCTCACCAGAGGACGAAGCCCTGGTGCCCTCTGGGCAGCAAGACCACTCTCAAGCTAACTCTTTAACTCCTGACCACTCTCACAGCCTCAAGCCATGCCAAAGCACACGTGAGCCCATGGGAAGGCTCAACTTGCACAAGAGGTGCAGGATTGGGCCCAGACCCCCTTCCCTGGGCACTGGGGGAACTCACAGTGATGGGCACAGCCCTCACACTGCACTGCTGCTGACATCCCTCTCCTCTCCATCCTGGTGAGGAACCTGGGGGCAACTGCAGGGCCTGCAGTCTATACAGCTCTGTCATCCTTGGCTCCCATCTCCATTTTAAAGGCAAGAATGGCTGCACATCTTTTCATGTACATCAAGTCAAGGCCTTTTGCTCACGGAAAGTTGCCAAAGCAAGTGGAGGGTGGGCACGTCCATGGCACCCTCCTCCGAGGGGTGAGAGCTTCATTTGCCCTGCAACTGCTGGTTCCCTGCCTCTGGGTGTTTTTTAAAGCTGCACTGAGGACTGAAAAATTCTAATCATAAAATTCCCAATGTAAGGATTCCCATTTTTCACACACATGAACACATATGAAAAAAACACACACAACACAGAGTTGCAATTACAGAGACATTTTACCCACTGTACTTATTAGTTATGAAAATAATGAGCTATGAAATTCCAATTTATTGTTGACAACTTTAATGACAGAGCTCTGGAGCAGAACTCTGAGCTCTACAGTGCAAATATATCTAGCAGTAGACCTAAACTGTCAAAACTAAAACCACCAGACTTTTTCCTGGTGGGTAAATAAATTGGCGTTTCCAAGCTATATGTTGGTCCTGATGGGAATTGGTGGCAATTCTGTTGCGGTAGTGAGCATCGCCAGCCAAACCACACCAGCCAGGCAGGGAGCTCAGGCCTCTGCTGGCTGCGGGTGCGGAGCCATAAGCGGGTGAAACAGCCTGTGATGGGCAGGATAAAGCCCATGGAAAGTTTGCCTTTATAAAACAGTCAAGGCATCTGAGTTTTCAAAAGTCCACTGGGAAGAATGCATGTAACTTGCCAGTGAAGACATGTAACTTCAAGGAAGGCATGAGAAAAAAAGCAGGGACACTGAGCGCAGGCAGCAATGCCGGCTCCTGCAGCTCTGAGACTGAGCCGGGCTGTGGGGGTGCCGCTCATCAGTTTGGGCAGGTAGAGGTAAGGTGGATGTGGAGAAAGTAGTGACAAGAACTCCAAAACCAGGGACCTATGAACCTGACAAATCTGAACGCATAAATGACCACCCTGTGGTAAGAAATGCTGTTAATCCAACAGATCCCATGCATGATACTACAAAACAAAAAAGCCTTAACAGTCTCTGCAGCTATGCTGTGTCCAGCAAGTTGGTTAGAAATTGGGAAAGAAAAAGATAGTTAAAATAAAAATAGTAAAATTCTAAACAATTAAATTAACTGGGAAAGTTTAGCAAACATATTGGGAATTAACTTTTCTAGATGAACAAGGAAAACATACTCTGAAAAAAAAATTTAAATTTCCCTTAATATAAGTTGCCCAAGTATGTCTGAATACCTGGGGTTAAAAACCATTTTAACATCATAATTTGCATTAATTAGGTTTAGATTTGTTCACAAAATTTAAAAATTAAAAAAAAAAAAAAAGCGAGGATGGTATTTTTTACCAAAATCTACGTCAAATTTTAAAATGAAACCAGGAAATAAAATGAATTCAGAGTTTAATTTCCTGTGCCATAGTGTTTGGAGCAGCTCCCACCTGAATAGAGGGTTACTTCCAAAATAGCTACAATTAAGATGGTTCCTAGTTTCTTATTGTAACCTGTACTTTCATAATCCAGCAGAAGAAGGGAAAAAGATGTTTAATCATAAATAGTAGGACATATTGCAGAGTAGCCTGTATGAGTGCACGCAATGTTGATGAAATGTATAACGATAGTATTGTTAAAAGACAGTTGTCTTCAGGAAGCAAAACAAGTAACTTCCACAACTTCTACTTTTTTTTCACATTTTGCTGAAGATGACTGCCAGATTTCCTCTCCTGTTCAGAACAGACAGCTGCAGGACATATGCCATATATACAGCAAATACACACGGCATTCTGCACTTTGCATTAGAGTTACGTACAAGAAGCTGTGAAACAAGACACAGTGGCTCTTTCTTTCCACATCAGACATATAAACCCACGAGTGATCAGGAAGCCCTTCTCCTCACTGGACTGATCTCCTGATTTCTACAAGTCTCCGTTTGTTTGTAGCCTCCAGTTCAGGACCAACACCGACACTCTTCTCTTGACGGACACAGAAGGATTCGCCGTCCCCCCATTACCTGCCAAGTATTTTGCTGACACAGCCATGGCTGACGCGGAGCTGCCGGGAGATGTCACACGGTCGGACCCCTTGGTGGGCGAGCTCCACGATCCTTTGGCGAACGACATCTGGGAGGGGGCGGCCATTCACAAAAACACCCCCCAGCTGATTCACCCCTCCATGTCCTGAAACACACAGGGGAGGGGGAGAAGAGCAGGAGAAGAGCTGTGTGAGAGTTTTAGACGTCTCTGCAGAGTAGAACCCCCAGTCCCAGCGCTCCCCGGCTCTTGTCATCGCCTCCCCAGCATCGGTCTGATTTCCCTGAGCAGAGCAGGAAGGCGGCCGCGCTGCCGCAATGCCACTCGCTGAAGGCACACCGGGGCCCCTCGGGGAAGATGGCCACGGGGAATCACGCAGCCGTGCGCGGCACCCCGGGTTAACCCCAATCCTCCTCCCAAAACCTCCTTCACCCAATCACGAACTCCAGGGCAGGCTTGGTGCTGCCCCGTGAAGCGGAGGCTGGTCAGAGCCTCTGGCTGGTCAGTGGAAAATAAGGCTGCGTGATCACTCAGCCCACACAGTGCCTCTGTCTGAACATAGGAGATACCTGAAATGAAACACGCTGTGGTTTTGGTTTTGTTTTTACAGATGCCTTGAATTAATCAAGGGAGAAAAGGAAAAAAAAAAAAAAAAAAAAAGAGGAAAATAAAAAGAGCATGATTCTGCTCCTAAAATTTGCGGCAGCCTTTGGAGATATTATGATCCCACAAATAAAGCATGAACACTTGGGCAAGCCCAGTATATTACTCCTATTTGAACAGATTTGCACCGTTCACCTTTAGCAAGGTGAATCATATATATGGTGGGAAACGGGATCCTCTTGGAGGAATAGCAATGAAACTGTGTAAACCCCATGAACACATAATAATCCCATGTACCAGGAGGTAATATAATTAACCCTGGTGTTGTTATTCATCCAAACTACTTATATTACAGAGGAGTGTAGAAGCTGAAAACAAGCCACAGGGGCAGTACAGATGCCAATTCTTGGGGAAAAAAAAAAAAAAAATCTCTCTATTTGCACAGGGCTTGAACTGTATTGAATAAACTGACAAGCCAAATGCCTCAGTGTTAAAAAACATAGATTATAGAGAGCTATTTTTATTTAAATCCGGTCATTTCACTATTGATTAACTGCTGTCAAACTTTGCAAACACCTTCTAAAACTGTCAGGACACATAATGAACCCACATGAAAAATGTGATGCTAAGCCCTGTGGTGAGCAGACGAACGCCTGCTCTGCTTTCTCCGGTGCGAGAGGCAGACTGTGCCAGCGGCTCAGCCAGCCGCAGGCTCGTGCTTCCCTTCCGAGCGCCGGGAGTCCGGAGCGGACTCCGGGGACGGGACTCCTGACCAGGGAGCTGCCGCGGCGCCCGGGACGCCGGGGCTGGGGTAAGGGACAACTCGGTGGCGGAGGCGAACGGGAGCTGCCCCACAAGGCTGCGGCGAACGAGACCTCGGGCTCCTCACCTCTTCTCAGGGCTTTAAGTTCGGGGAATCATGCACAGTGCACTCAGTGTGAGCGGGAAGGTCCTGTGGTGGTGTTCATGCAAGGGGAGAGGGAAGAAGGGGAGAACAGGACAGAAGAAAAGAAAAAGGAAAGAGAAAGGAAAGGGAAAAGAAAAGGGAAAGGGAAGAGGGTGGAAAGAAACGGGAAAGGGAAAAGAAAAGAAAAGAAAAGAAAAGAAAAGAGAAAAAGGATGGAATGGGAAAGGAAATGGAGAAAAAGAAAGGGAGGAAGGAGAGAGGAGGGAGGCACGGAGGGACAGTGGAAGGAGGGGAGGGAGGGAGGGAAGAAGGAAGGAAAGGAAGAGAGGAAGGAAAGAGAGGTAGGAAAGAAAGGAAGGAAGGGAAAGAGGGAGGAAGCAAGGAAGAAAGGGAGGGAGGGAGGGAGGAAGGAAGAAAGGAAGTGAAGAAAGAAGAAAGGAAGGAAGGAAAGGAAGGAAGGAAGTAAAGAAGGAAGGAAAGGAAGGAAGGAAGGAAGGAAGGAAAGGAAGGAAGGAAAAAGAAGGAAGGAAGGGAGGGAGGGAGGGAGAAAGAACATGAAGAAAAGAGTAGGGAAGGCATCATTAAGACATGCGTTTCCTCAGGGAAGTGGCCGACTCTGCCCCCGGAGCCCGTCCCAGCCCCCGGAGGCCGGCAGGGCTCGGGCCTGCCCAGGCCTGGAGCTTAGGCTCTCCAGGCGCCGGGAACAAAGACTCGGGCCGCCGCCGTCCCTTCCCCCAAACCTGCCACAGCCCCGGGAGCAGCACCGGCTCTCGCCCGCCGGGGCATCTCTGCCGCGGTCGCGCTCCCGGGTGACTGCTGGTCGGGGGCCCCGTCGGGCCGTGAGCTGCTGGAGCCCGGGGGTCATCGAGCTCCGTCCGCGGCCCGGTGCGGGAACGAGGCAACCGCCCCACCTCCGTGCCCCTCTCCGCAGTCCGGGGTCTCCACAGGGAGCGGGGAGGGGGAGAGACTCGTATGCTCTTTCGGGCGGGGGCAGCACCGACAAGCGGCCCGCGGGCCGAGCCCGGAGCCGCGGTGCAGCCGGGACGGGCGGGGGCCCGGACGAGCCGAGGTGCGGCCGTTCCCGGGGAGCCACCGACGGGGATGCAGGCCACCTCGGCTATCCCCTGCCCGCCTCGGCGCCCCCGGGGCCCTGGACGGCGGCGGCCAAGGGCTCTGCCCATGCGGGACTAAGAGCCGCAGGGACTGTGCCGGGACAGAAGGGTCCGAGGTGCCGCTCGGGACCCCCCAACCCCCTCCGCCGTTTCCCCGGGTCGAGCCGCCGCCCCGCTCCCCCGGCGGACAGCTGCCCCCGCTGCCCCCCCGGCTCCCCTTTTCACGGCGGTCCCGACCCCCACGTCCATCCACCCTTCTGCTCTGAGGAGACGCGGGTCCGGAGATCGTTTGGCAGGGAATGGCCCCGGTGACTCCCCAGCCGCGGCCGAGGCCAGAGCGAAGACACCGGCATTTTGGTTTTATTCCTTCTGTTTGCCCCGAGATTCCTGCGGAAGACATCGATTTTTCACGGCCGCGAATGACGGAGGGCGCTGCTGAAACCCGCCTGGGGTGTCTGGCCCCACGCGTGGAGCCCGTCCTCTGTGGGCTGCGGGTCCGCTTGCCACCCTTGGCAAGGGGCGCTCTGGCGGAAGAGGGCTCCGCGCCACCCCCCGCATCGCGCACCGCGGCCTTTCCGACCTTAAAGTTCGCCTTAAAATAAACGTGATTTTGTTCAGTGCCGGGAGAGAATTTAAACGCGGGTATCGAAAGCCGCGTTGCCGCGGGAGGCACAGTCCGCTTTCACGCGGACGGCAGAGCCCGTCACCGGCCGCCGTCCCCGCTCTGAACAACCCCAGAAAGCGAGCGATGGGGAGAGGGATGGGAAGTGAGCAAATGAACGGGGAGCGCAGGGAGCACGAGGGAGGGAGGTTAATCTCTAGCCCCGGCGCTCGGTGGTTTATTTTGCAAACAAATTTCTTTGAGCCGAAGGGCTGTGGTGCACCGGGAAATGAGATTAGTTCTACCTTAAATTTCCTCGCAATCTCTTGCCGTAATGCAGCGTTTAACTCACCGTGAGAGAAGATGTCATTTCACATAACACTGTGCTAATGGATAAGTCTTCCCCGACCTCTCAAGCACAACAAATCTCGGGCGAACCCACAGTGCACGACCTGTTAACTTCACCGGCCGCCCGCTCCGCCGCCAGGCTGCCCGGCGCCGGGCTCACAGAACCGCGATCACGACACCGTTCTCCAGGGTTTAAAAAGAAAAAAAAAATCTTCCCTACAGCCCCGCTCCTCGCTCTTCGCATTGGCTCGGTTTGGTTGGTTTCGGGTTTTTCTGTTTTGTTTTTTGGAGGGGGGGTTGTTTGTTTGGTTGGTTTGCTTTTTGGGTGGTGGATTTGTTTTGTTTTGTTTTGTTTTGTTTTGTTTTGTTTGTTTGTGGGAGTTTTTTTGCTTTGTTTCCAATTAACGAATTTCGAAATTTTGAAAAAGAGAAAGGAGATCAACTTTTCCGTTCGCCGGGAATACCGCGCGGCTGTCTTCCCGAAGATTTGATTTAGGGGGAAAAATAAACACATGCACATATATATAACATCTATGTACTCATCTATGCACACAGGCACGCGTTCATATGTATCGATGGCTGTACACACATTGGTAGCCGTGTCTGTATATCCGTATGTACAGATACACACACGAAAAAGCATCAACTCTTTATGGTAAAATAACCCCCGGGCCAGCCCGCTCCCGCAGCACACTGGCCTTCCCGAGGGGACACGTCGGCGGCCGGCCCGGTGGGGCCCGCGGAGGGAGCCGGTCGCGCGCGGCCGCTCAGACAAGTTGAAGAAACAGCCACTTACTGTGCATTGCTGCGAACGGGTCGTGCTTACAGTGTATTTCCATCGGAGCGGTCCGGGGCCGGGCGGCCTCGGCGAGCTGATCTAGATTCGCCAGCAGTGCTCGGTTTTCGGGCTGGGGGAAGGAGCCCACGAAAAAGCCCGGAGACCGACCAGAAGGGGGGGAACAAACAAACAAACAAACAAAAACCAAACAAACAAAAACCACCAAAAACCAAACCACCACCAAAAAAAAAAAAAAAAAAAAAAAAAAAAAAAAAACCAAGGCGGAAAAAAAATTGAATAAAAACCGAAAAAGAAAAGCGGAGAGTCCCGCCTCGAGTGGGGTCGCGGTATCCGAGAGCGCTGGCCAAGCGCGACTCTTGCGCCGCTTGCAGACTCCGGAGGCCCCGTCGGGGAGGCGCGGAGAGGCCGCCCCGGGCTGCGCTCCTGCCCCCGGCCTCTTCCCGGGTGACCGCCGATCCTCGGCACCCGCCGCCCGGCTCCGGGGCGGTGCTGGGCGCGGAGGGGGCGGGCGTCTCGGTTCGGCGGCCGAGAGCCTGGCGCTGCCCGCCCGACGGCTCTTTGTGCTGGCGGTGCCGGCGGCTGCGCGGCGGTGGCGGCCGGGGCGGGCGGCGGCGGGGGCGGGCGCCCCGTCCTCGGGGCTCGGTCCCGGGGCGGTGGCGCGCTCCGCCTGTGCCGCCCCCCGCCGCGCCGCTCGCAGCAACTCGCTGCGCCGGGCGGGGCGGCGGCGGTGGGCGAGGGGAGCGGCGGGGGAAGGTGTGTGAGAGGGCGGGGAGCGGGGCGGGGGCCGGCCTCGCCGCGGCCCCGCGGGACTGGGCCGCCCCGTCAGCGGCCGCCGTCCGACCTGGGGCTCAGGCTCGGCGCGCCCATTGCCGCCCGCCCGCCCGCCCGTCCGCCCGCCCGCCCGCCCGCCGGGACCGGGGCCGCGGCGGCGCCCCCTCCCCTCCCCTCCCCTCCCCTCCCCTCCCTCCTCTCCTTCCTTCCCTCCCTTCCCTCCCTCCCCTCCCTCCCTCCCTCCCCTCCGCCCGCCGTCGGCCGCCGGGGCGGCGGAGCCTGGCTGGCTCGGGCGGTGCGCCCGGCGCGCTGCCGACCGGCGGCGGGCGGCGGGGGTTGTGGCGGGCGGCGGGGGCGGGGGCCGCGGGGCCTCAGGGCGGGGCTGGCGGGAGGGGCGGACGGGGGGGTCCGGCGGGGCCGCCCCGGGGCCGCCCCCGTCTCGCGGCCCCGCGCGGACACGGTGCGCGCGGAGGGGGCGGCGGGCGGAGCTTCAGCACTGCGCGGGCGGACAGCGGCGGGGGCGGGGCCCGATCGTCACTCAGCGCGCGGCCAATCGCAAAGTTCACCTGCCGTGCCCCGCATTGGCCGCCGGGCGGGGGCGCTGCCTATTGGCGGGCTGCGAGCCAATGGGGGGCGGGGCCGTACGCCCCCGCGGGGCGTGGCTGGAGCGCAGCCACGCGTGACCGTGGCGTGGGGGGTCTCCTTCGGGTCTGGGGGGACCCCGGGGCCGCGGCCGCGGGACCCCCGATGGGGTGACGGGCCGTCCTGTGGGCGTGCGTCAGCCGGCGGCCCGATGGAGCCTCCTGAGGCCGTTGGTCTCCCCGGCGGTCGGATGGCACGTGTCGCTGCCGTGGGTCCTCCGTGCCCCCGGGAGCCCGGGCCATCGGTGCGGGCGCGGAGGGACGCCGGCCGGTGTCCTGGTAGGGATCTCCGCTCGCTCGTGCTGCCTGCGGTCGAGTCGGGGCCGACGGCTGACGCGCCCAGAGGCGGCACGTTCCCGCTCTGGCTGCCGCGCCCGTGGGTCCCGCCCCCGGCAGTGCTGCCCCGTCTGGAGTTAAGGGCCCGGCGAGGAGGCCCGGATAATCCCCTGGGGCTGCGCCTGTCCCGCTGCGGGTGACCCCGGTGGCGTGGCAGAGCCCCGCCGAACGAACGTCCCTGCCCTCGGCCTCGCCTTCCAGCTGTCCCCCTCACCGGGATCCTCGTGTGGGAGGGGGCTCCGAAGAGCTTCATCCGCCGGCCCCGGGCGAGACCCACCCACACCCCCCCCCACCCCCCCGAGCTCAGCCACTGGGTCTCGGTGGCGGTGGGACCGTGCCGTGGTGCCCCGTCGGCGGCAGGGGACCGGCGGGTGGACTCGGGGCGAGTTTTCGTTGAAGACGAAACTCCTGGCCGCGGCCGAACCGCCACCGCAGGGTCGGGACACAGGATCCAGCCGAGGGACAGCGAGGGCCACTCCCTGCGCAGCCCCGCAGCCGTCGGGCCGGCCGCCCCGCGTCGCCGCTCAGCATCTTGGCTCGGAGGAGCCCCCGGGGATGACGGGCAAGCAGAGCCCGGGGGGTACCCCGCCATCCTGCGCGGAGGGGCCGGGCAGACAGGCAGGGCCGGCTCCCATCCTGCCCGGCCTTCGTCTCTGCCTTTACTCCCCGTCCTCCTCCTCCTCCTCCTCCTCCTCCTCCTCCTCCTCCTCCTTGCCTGCGCGGCACTGTTGTGAGGACCCATCGGCCCAAAGCATCTCAGGAATACGGCGGCCCCGCGGTGCCCGGGGCCAGAGACGGCAGAGGCCTCGGGGCGCCTTGTATCGGGGTCCCCTGTCCCGTCCTTCCCGTCCTGCCCAGCCCGGGCAGTGCTGCCGGTGCTGCCGCCCCTGCGGCCCCCCCGCCCCCGGCCGCCTCCGCCGCGCCATGAAATGCTTTATCGATTAAACGATTATTCAGGCGATTTAACTAATAAAAGGCCCCATCGATCGCTTCGGAATTGCATTCCGCCACCAAACCGCCAGGCCGACTCCGCAATGGCCACCGGCCGCGCTGCCGCCGCGCTCCCCGCAGGGACGCCCTGACAGGGCTCCTCGCTGCCACTCGCCAGTCCCCGGTCTCAGTCCCTTCGCCTGGCCGTCCCCTCAACCCGTCCGCTCCCAGCCGCCCCCTCAACCCGTCCGCTCCCAGCCGCGGGGCCACCGGACACCAGGGCGGCCACTCTGTGGAGCTCGGAAGTCTCGGCAGCCCCCCTCGCCACCCCGACGACCCCGCGGGGAGCTGGTCCCGCCGCCCGCTCGGACACTTCGCCCGCCCGCCCCTACCCACGCCGGCGTCCCCCTCGTCCGCAGAGCCGCTGGGCTCCCTGCAGCCCCCGGCCCGAGTCCCACCTGTCCGGCCGGCCCGGGGGGTCGCGTAGGTTTTCTCCAGCTCCATCTCGGTTCTGCAGGACTTGGGAAAACGGAGGGAAGGAAAAGTTTCCACGTCGTGTTGCTACCGCTTCCTTTTTCTCCTTTTTTCCCTTTTCTTTTTATTGTTTTCTGTTCTCTTTTTCTTGTATTTTCTGTTTTTCTTTCCTCTTCCTCTTTTCTCGTTTGTTTTTCTTTTTTTTCCTCTTTTTTCTTTTCTTTCTTTTCCTTCTTTATTTTCTCTCCTTTTTTTTCTTCTTTATTTTTCTCTCTTTTTTTTTTCTTTCTTTTTTTTTTTCTTTTTTTGAGGGCCTCTCTCAGGTTGGAATAATTCAACTCTTCCGCTCCCCGCCGAGCTTTTGCAGCTGATCACTGAGCTGAAACTAAACGTTTTAGGTGGAAAAAAGCCTCTGAAGGAACCGTGAAATGATTAAGAGACTAAAGAGCTCCTCGCCATGTGAGATCATGTCCTGTTCTCTAAAACATCACAAGATGTCCCCAGACGCAGCCAAAACCCAAGAAAACTCTGACATGTGTTGTAGCAGGAATCAAACTTTGCTCGCAACCAGCCGCCTCCCGAGCGCTCCGCGGCTACGGCAGAGGCGGCGGCACCTGCCCGGTCTGCCTCTTCTGCCCCAGCCCGTCACCAACTTTTCAGCAGAACCGACTTCCCCTTCCCGGGCCGGGAGTGACGCTGACGCCCCCGGGGCCACGCTCCCCGCCGGGCCGGGCCGCCGCGGGGGTGGGACAGGGGCCCGCCTGCCGGCACCTGGGGGGGCGGCGGAGAGATCCCCGCGCCCGCATCCCTCTGGCCCTGCCCTGCCCCGCGTCCCTCGGCGTAGGACATATCTTGGGCCGCGGAGGGGACTGGGGACCAGCGGCCCAGTGGAGGCGCGAGGGCCTGGGCAGGGCTTTCCTGGCCCAGAAGGGCTCCACTCTGGCTCCCCCCGCACCTTCCGTTCGCGCGGAGCATGCAGACCCACCGCTGTGGGTGAGGGTGGGTAGAGGGGAAGGGGAGAAATCACGAGGCCTCGACCTTTCCCAGGTTTATTTTTCAGCGAATCGAGTGGTGGGGGGGAATAAAGGCCCTTCCCTTCCCAAGGCCAAAACAAATTTCGGCCCCGGGACACCTCCCGGGGCTACGGGCTCGGTGAGCAGTCCCCCTCTCAGCGCCCACCGGCATTTGCAGCCACGCACCTACTCCCACCCGCGCACACCCACGGCCCGCGGCCCCTCTCCCGAGGAACCCCAGGCACGGAACCGGTCTGCTTGGCGGGGACGCAGGAGGGCTCTGCTCTGCTCTGCTCCCCTTCCCGGGCTACCCCCGCCGTCCCGCCACCGCCACCGCGCCGGGGTATCGACCAGGGGAGGGGAGAGGAGGACTAAGAGTGGGGGACACGTCCGCTTCCCCTGAGCGAAGCGGCCTGGGGAGCCCCGCTCGGGCCGGGTCCTGCGGGGACGGAGGATGTGTCTAGTTTAGGACGAGGCCCCTTTCGCGAGGCTGGAGACGGGGCTGCCTCGCCCGGCGCAGCCCCTCCACCCCAACGCGGCTCCCACCAGGAGCTAACATGGACGCGAATCTTGTTTCCAAACTCTCCTATTTCTATCCCGACCATCTCTCCGCCTCGGACGCAGTCGCATCCGAAGACCGGCGTCCCCGCGGGGGTCCGCGGCTGGGACGGGCTGGGTCCTCCGGGACCCCCGCCTGCCTGGCTCAGGAAGCGAGGCCGGCTTCGGCCTCTCGCGCTTTTGCTTCCTTTCCCACCAGTCTCTGTTCGCTCTCATTTGCTTACACAGAAATAGCCGCCGCCGGAGCCGCCGCCGAAAATGAAACCCGCCGCTCTGGGATAGGGGGTCCTTCCCTAGGGGAGGCACACCCAAAGGAGCCGCCCAAATGCAAGGCAGACACCCCCCCCCCCCCCCCCCCCGTCCCATTCCGTCC